TTTCATACTCAAACATTATATGAGTTATGTGAGTGACCACACACTGGTCTGAAAACTGGTTTTTGTGTTATTGAGAGTGGTTTTCTTCTACAAATTTTGTGTAGATTCCCTATTTTGTTTAGCTTGGCAGCTTTGGTTTTGGTTTGTTTAAAATCGGTGATTAAAATTAATGGTTTCAGGGTTTTGGGTTAGCAGGGAAAACACAGATTTCAAAGCCTGTTACTTGCAAGATCTCTGGTGCATGTGACAGAGTCCTTGTTAAAGGTTACCAAGAAAGAACTGATCATCTAAATATTATGATGATGCAAATGGACTTTATTTTCCCTTTGCAAGTTTGCATTCATGCCAAAAAGTGATTTTGCTTAAATCCGCACTTTAATCTTGCAGTGGTTCTTGCTGCTGGAAGTATTTTAAGTGAATACCAGATTTGTGCAGTTTACTGTCTACTAGAGTACAACGCTTTAAATCCCTCCATTATTTAGCACTGTTAAAATATTTTTGCTTTTAGGGCTGTCACAGTTAATACAGATATAATTCTCAGAAATCTGCAAAGTGTCTTTCAATTCCTCCTTGGATTATACAGGGAAAAAATAACTACGGTAATAGTAGCCTTATTAGCAAGGCGCTGTGGTTTAGACCTCTCAAAATTCCCTCCACTGCTCTGAAAGTTGTTCTGAAGCGAATCGTCTACGATACGTGAAATGTTGTTTCTTATTTTCTTAGTGTTTTCATTGCGTAACATCCTTTTTTTGGTGTATTACACAATTTATCCTTGAATAGGAAGTGGAATATTTAGGCTTGCAGTTTTATGTAATTTCAAAAAAAAAGGATGGCAGCAGATTCCCATACATCACTTTTTCCTTGTGTCTCTCCAGCGGAGCTTGCTGATGCCACCATTTTCAGTGTGAGCTAAGCACATTTGCTGGAGTTTTTGTTTCCATAGTAGCGTCAGAGGTTTTAACGTTTCCCTATATGACATGAATGGGAGTTTGTACAAACACCAGCGGTTGGAGTTTTATTTGGGAGGGTGGAAGCTCTCCAAGCAAAACTTTACAGTCTTGTGGTTTGTGTTAGCAGTCACCGGTTCTGCCAGCCTGGAGGTTTCCTGAGTGCTTAAGCCCTTTTGGTTTCATCCTTCAGAGAAACCCAGTCCCAAGCTGTTCATTCAGACCCTCAGTGTGTGTATGTGCCAGGAATTGTGTATCTGAATATAACATGAAGTGAGCAGAGAGTACAGGAGAAAGTAATCATCTCTTTTTCAGCAACCTGGGTAGCTTAAGACATTTAGTTAGCCCATAAACTTCAGCAGGTTGCAGTGGCTCAGCTCATACTCTGTTACTGGGCAAGGATTTCATAGACATGCTTCTGATCATCATGGAGTTAATGGGAAAGGATAGATGAACTGTAGATCCCTGGATCCAAGCCCCATTTTCTTCCACTGGCGCCAGCCTGATGTTGGCAGACCATGAGACCCCACCAGCTGAGGTGGTAACACTGGGTCTGATGAACGGGGCGGGGGTGAAACAGCCCTCCCGGGTGAGCACGCTGCTGCTCAGGTGCAAGCACACAGCAAACCCAAAGGATGTTTTAATTTGGTTCCCCGGGAAGGGCAGGGGCGTTGCACTTTTCCGATATGAAGCATCTTTAATGATGAACCTGGGGATGGTGCTCCACCCTCCCTGCAGTTTGCGTATGAGCAGCCTTTAGCATAGGAGCAGTTATAAAATTACAGATACCGATAGCTGCAGTTGTCTTGGATGATTACTGTTTCATGGGAAGTTGGGTTTTTCTGAATCTTAATGGGAATGAGAGTTTCTTGCTGTTTTTAAAGAAATCAAAGGCTTGATTTCAGTCTGAATCTTGAGCTTTTTGACATTGGACATGGGCTTGCTGGTGTTTGCTGGGCTGTGCCTTTTCCCCCCCCCCCCCTTCCTCTATCAAAGATAAAAAAGTCCCATAGAATGAAATAATTGTGTTTGGTTCTAACTTCAGACTAACTTGTTTGAAAGGGGGAAAACACATGAAAACTGGGTGGGGAAAAGATGCGTTTCTGACTGCGACGTGCCTAAAGCTGTGTGTGAAGATCTGCTCTCATGAGAGGCAAAACCTATATTGAGAGCTCTTCCAGCACAGCAGTTCTCACAAGATCTTCCAGCGCAGCAGTTCTCACAATTGAAGGGGAGAGGTTACTTTCATGAGATTTCTATCTCCAAAGCATCTTTACAGTTTAGCTCAAAATATTACCAAAAGCAGCATGTATGAGTTGCAAGCATTAAAGCATCAGTGCCACTTTGAGTAAAGACCTAATCAGAACCTAGATCTTAATATGTTTTTTTGGCTCATGTTTATGAAACCAAATTATTTCAGTTGTTTACAGCCCGGTATGCTTTTTTTTTTTTTCCGTGGTTTGGTATTCTGTCTTGCCTCCTAGCAGTTTGTTTACTGATATTAACCCTATTAATGTCAGTTGGCAGAGATTTTCCTTTTCATTTGGGGGCTGACAGCCAGCACACCTTTGAAGTCCTTGAAGAATTAGTTGCCTTGGATATTTTTCATGCTGTAACCTGTTTACGTTTTTTAAGTCAGTTTTTGATCATTAAATGAATTCACAACAATCATCTTTATAATGTCATTAATAAAGGTTTCTTAACCATGCTCATGGGCATTCAGGGCATTGTGCAACAGTTCAATAAAAACATTACAAAACACAATAATCAGAGCATATAAATAGAAAGAGGAACAGGCTGCAAAGATCTGAACATCAAAGCCTGACGTTATTTAGGAACTAGAGCTTTATTCAAGCCCACCTCTCAATGGTTTTAAAAAACCCACAACAAAAAAAAAAAAAAAAAAAAAAGAGACCCAAAAAGCTCCAACCCCCCAAAATAATGAAAAGACTCTACTAGAACAAACCTTTAGAAGGGTGTGGTTTAAGAAAAAAGGGCTAGGAGATTGTGGAAACAATTCTCATGAATTCAACACTGGTTACAGCAAAGAAAGTAGTTTTGAACTGAGAAAACTACATTTTGGGGACCAAATTAAGTATGGAATTAAAGAGCTGGCCACCTGCTTGTGGGGTACCTGTTAGTCAGGATGGACTTTGTGGTTAGATGTGGGTAGAATACACAGGCAGTGGGGTTTGTGTAGTCAAAACAATATCATCAATCAAAATGAAGCTATTGCTTTTTGTTGCTTAAGTCAAGCAGAGTCCATTAAACCACTGCAGAGTCTCCAACTCTTTAAACCTGAAAACCTGGAGGATGTTGCATGATGCCCATTCCATTCTTAAAATTATTTTCTACTAAGACCCTGAACTATCAGTACAGCTGGAAATTACGTGTGTTAGAAGAGGGAAGTCCTGAGAAGTTCTGAATTTCACCTGCTGTCTTCTGCAGTGGCTGGTGATGGCTGGAAACTCCCGTATGGTGGCTGAGGAATGAGCATCTGCTCATATTAGGTTTGTATTATTGGTGATTTTGTGACAGCTTAGGCTTCTACCTAGTAGCCTGTGCCTGCTGGTGGTTCAAATCTAAGATAAAATTTTACATGGTAGTGGTTGCTTGTAGGAAAGATCAGTGCTCCTTTCAGCTCTCGTGCATTGCTCAGGAATCCCGAAGAGCAATTAGCTTTGGTGAGCATTAAGTATTTACGTAATGGGCAAATGGTATGCATGCAGACGTGTCTATTTTTGGTCTCGATTTTTTCTTCCCATGATACTTTTCCTCAGTGCTAGAAGAAATATTCCACATATTAATACTTTTACTATAGCCTTCAGATTTTATGTTGTCCCATAACGGTAAAGACCAGGTGATATTTTTAAATTTTTTTGTTAGCATTCATCAATGAATTTATCTGAATGGTACTTTGACTTCTGTTTATTTGCTTAAAAAGGTATGTTTTCCATTTAAATTGGCAGTCTTTCAAGAGCTGTTGCAAAACTTGTGTTACACAATGCAAGAATTCCTAATACATAAGCAATAGGCAGGCGTGGCAAGTTGTTGTAAGCTTTTTAGGTCAGTATGCCATGGATCAGTATTTATTATCTAATTTTTCAGAGTATGAAATTTTGACCGTTTAATTGAGTGGTTTAGTTTGGGACTGTGCAAGGAGGCAGATTACATGGAAAACACTGTCAGTTCTGAAATCCAGGCGTTTGTAGCCTCCGACTCAAAGCGAAGGCAGCTCTCTGAGATGAAGTATTAGTAGTCTCACCATGTACAGCTTAGGCATCCTTTCTCTTCAAAAAAAAAAAAAAAAAAAAAAAAAAAAAAAAAGATTGAAGGCATGAAAAAAAAAAAAGCTGTGTGTTTTCCTGTGCAGTTCCCTCATCTGTGAGAGCTCTCTTTTGCAAGGGCAGGATATGACCTTTAAAGTCTACGGCATTGGAACTGAGATGAAATCATTTTATAAGCAGTGATCAAAAAGCATATTGATGGCTACAGTAGTGCCCTGTGGCGTTATATCCCAACATCACGTTAATCCAATCTGATAATCTGTCAAAGCTCCTATTTAATGCGAATGAATGCTTCCAAATGGCAGTTCTCATTCTCCTACTGGTTTTTCAAAATTCTCCCCTTACAGTTGTCAGCTTTACAGCCATGACACGCTTCCTTTGATACCTAATATTTTAATAGAGAGCATAAATCCTTTTAAATTTATGTTTATCAATCAGCAAGCCTTTATGCCTTTCTGGCATAAAAGTCTTAAGGACAACAGTTTTATGTATAAATGAGACACAGAATACTTTTGAGGAAAGCAGTAGGTGAGGACACAAGTTTCCCGATCAGCATTCCTGCTTTGTGAAGCAGATGAACATCTCTGAGCTGTGGTCTGAAACCGCAGAGTGGATTATGTTGTTACTGCTGTGGCTGCTGTTCCTGACTGATGGCGTTTAAAAGCCCTTGAGATGTTTCACAGGGTATAAACGAGAAAAAAAGCATGCTCTTGAGTGATCAGATAGTGTTTGGGTTGAGCATCCACTCCTCTCATGAGGACAGTGTATGGTAGCTGGCATTGGTAAGTCACCTGAAACCCATTGTTCACCCTGAATCAAACCAGTATCTGGTTACTATTAAAAGCAGCGGTGTTTTGTTCCCAAATCATTCCTCTGAATCTCCTGCCCTGGGTTTTTGCCTCCAGTATGTACTTAAAAATTTGCATAGTTTTCAGATAATGAAGGGCATTCAGGTATCCGTGCTGGGATGATTTTATAGGACAGACCTGTGTCTCCTACAGATCTGCAAATAAATCGTCCGGTTACACCGTCACAGGCACTTATAGCATCCACAAGCTGCTTATTGCTTTAATCTCTGGATGGATTTAGAAGCCAAATGGCAGCGATGGACGGGAGCAGCACGGCACATTAATACTCATCTGAAAGGCAATCGCAGATTTGGCTTCTGCCTTTATAACGCAAAATATATGTAGCAGATAAAATGGGAAGACTAGTGAAAACAAAGGGTGTTTCTCGCCTCTAGGGAAATACAAAAGTAACTCTTCGGGGTGTTCAACTGCTTAGTTGCTCTCAATTTGAAAAAAAAAATGTTTTGCCCCAGCACTACTTGGGAAGGGAGAGCTGTGTCAGAGTTGTGAGTTTTTTCCAAAAATTTTTAGACATCCGATGGTGCAGACGGGTTTTCTGATGGCTACAATAGGAGTTTGGTATCCAGTTGCATTTGAAAATCCCACTGACCTCTCTTGAATACTCAGTGACCATCAGCTTTTGTGTGACGGCACTGCCCAGGAATGCAGAGCTTTGTGGTCCCATTGTTTTTTGTGTGCGTACCTATTTTATAGCCTTGAGGGTGGTTCGGTATCCCCGGGGTCCATGGGATCCACTCCTCTGCGGGAAGTGGGAAGGATGCCTCGAGCGTGGTTGTGGAGGGCACATGTTACCTGCCTCCATGTTTCGGTGCCAGGCGGAGGCCGGTGGTCGGGGCTGTGTGGGGACACTGGTGGGAGAGGCAGCGCCAACCTCATACCCCAGCTGAAGGTTCACAGCAGCTGCTGTAGGCTCACACCGGGGTTAGGACCTTGTTGTCCTCGGCATTTTACAAATGCAGCAGCATGAGACTTCAAAAATCACTAAGCAGGCGTATTTTGGCAGAGGAACAGAGCCTGTTTGTTTAATCTGAGAAGAACCATACAAGCTAAATAGACCATCCGGAAAAGAAAAGAGGTGAGAACAGTAATGGAGGCAGCTAAATTCAAGATGCCTTTCACGGAGGGAAGAGCGGGGCAGTGCAGACAGGGACTAAACCCCCTGCTCCTCCATCCCTGGGGCCACCAGCAGTGGGGTGTGCTGAAGTGGGGGCTGCGGCTACAGCCACGCTGGAGCACCGGGTCTGCTGCCCCATGACCCGATGATGTGTGCTTGAAAGAAGAAGGTTTCATGGATCCATTGGTCCCGAGGATAAAGCGTGCTGCCTCATCTGTGCAAAGAGGCTAAAGGGAAATCTGGGGGCAAGGGTTATGCTGCAGATGGCTTAAGGAGGGGAAACTTATCCGCGTGGAGCTTTTTTTTTAATTCAGGTGTTTTGCAATGACCCTTCCCCTGTCACTTGAAGGACTCATGACATGTTTTCTGTTTCTATTTCAGGCCAAGAACATCCTAATAGCCTGCGGCACAAATACAACTTTATTGCAGATGTGGTAGAGAAGATTGCTCCTGCTGTGGTTCACATTGAATTATTTCGCAAGTAAACAAGATGCCCAGTTTTGATTTTTGTGTTCTTGAAAACAGCGGCCAGTGTGCCAGAAATGTTGATTGATGCTATGTAATGGCAAAGAGGTTGTTGAGATGATAAATATTTGTCATGCTTAAGAATTAAAGAGAATTTAAGAGTCTTGAGGAAAAAAAAAAAATAAACTAATGCATGTGTCTTATCTTGTTAATGATAGTAAGTAACAACAGATATCCTCAAGCATTAAAACCCACCAAACTCTTTTTGACTGTGTGTTGCTTGGAGTGATTGGTGATCTTTCAACTTTCTGCAGCGATAAATGTTTATTTCCCATGTCTTTTAGACTCCCTTATTCGAAGAGGGAGATCCCTGTTGCCAGTGGTTCAGGGTTCATTGTCTCGGAAGACGGACTGATAGTGACAAACGCCCATGTCGTCACCAACAAAAACCGGGTGAAGGTGGAGCTGAAGAACGGTGAAACGTATGAAGCTAAAATTAAAGACGTTGATGAAAAAGCTGACATTGCACTAATTAAAATAGATTCTCAGGTGGGTTGTGAAAGCAAGACATATTTTATTCCTCTTAATTTAGTATCCTCCTTTCCAAAAACTATTGCTAATTCTCATGTTTGAAGGAAAGGCTAGTAGTTTAGTGGTCTGAGTTACAGAGAGTATTTGAGCTGGGTGGATACACATTTTTAAAAGCCAAGTTTGTGGTTGGTAGTGGTTAAGGTTATCACCTCTCAGTGTAGTGCCAGCGAGTACGTAGCACTTCTGTATGGATCCTCAAAATGAAAAACAACAACATGGTTTGCTGGCTGGTTTACACACTCATTGGTTAATACAACTCTCCCTCTGAGAAGAAGTGGGGGTGTTCCCTTGTGGCTGGTAGAGGGACGTATTAGTCTTTCTTGTGTGCCTGTACTGAAGTCACAGATTGCTTTTAGAGGATGCATTTGTCTCTCTGAAGGCTGTACCACGCTGATGTGGATACTAAAATGGAATATATTTTAGGAAGCATCTTGAATGTGCAAATTAAAGCCAGCTTGGAAAGATGCTCTTACAGGGCAAGTGGTTTTCTGAAGAGATGGGAATGCAACTTCCCGTCCATAGTCTTCCTCCATATCAGACATACATCTTGTCAGCATTATTCTGCCTCTTGCAACAGGAGGAGAGCTGTCTTGTGGTTCTGCACGTCAGCAGCGTAGCGCGAGTGGGATATTGTGTCGAAATACTGTGTAACGTAGATGCAATTAGATGTGTGTGATTGCTTGGGGTGCTGCTCGTATTGGTTTCCCTGGTTTGGACTGTTAGTTAATGACCTCCCAATTTAACGGGCAAGAACGTTTCATTTGAAACACATGACTCAAAAATGTGTAGATCTTGCAGTGTTGCTTTACTTCAGACCTATTCCCCAGTGAGGTCAAAAGTGTTTGTGCCAGAATTCATGACTAAATCAGACGTCTTGGATGACCCAAGTTATGAAGTGCTCCTGCTGCTCCCTTGCGACCTTTTGTCATTTAAAATCTCTTTCTTTTTTCTTATTTAAAAGCTTAAAAGCAACATGGCAGAAAACCATAACAATACCAAGATTTTTTTTTTTTGCCATGTTGTTTTTTCCTGAAGTAACCTATTTATACATTTACCAATCACTTATTTTCTCATTTTTATATTAAAACAAGCAAAAGCAGATCTGCAGTAACAAAGCAAAGGGAAAGATCCCCAGGATGAGAACTGGCTGCATGAGGCTGAGTAGGATATGGCACGGTGTGAAGGGCAGTGGAAAAGTGATTTAAAATTGGGAGCACAACATGGTGGGGAAAGTAGACCAGAAAATTGTGGCAAGAAGAGGAAGGCTTCAAGTGATGGGAAGGTGAGCTTCAGAGAAGAGAGCAGCTGGTGTGAGTCAAAGAGAGGAAACATTGAGCTGATGTGACAGATCATTTTGAGGACTCAAGAAGAGGGCAGACATAGAGGGTTTTGTTACTTGATACCCTAAAGAAATAGCTCCAAAATTTCCCTGCTAAGCTGCTTGCGGGAAGGGAGAACCTGGAAGACTGGAAGCAGCTTGGAAAAAATAGAGCACAGCCAGATGAGTTGCCTGTAGTGGAAACCACTGCTAAACAGGACTGGAACTGGTGATTCTAGTTATGACTTGCAAGATGGCAGAGACTCTTTTTTTAAAAATTACTGCTTTATAATTAAACGATAGTCATCTTCTTCCACCAGTTTAATTTTTGAACAGAGTTGTGACCCTGTTTTGCAAATGGCACATCAGCATTGCAACCTAATTCATTTATATATATTTGCAAATTCTTTAAGGCAGGAAAAATTTTTCTGTCTTAGAATTATTTAGAGCCAAATCAGCTACATACTTCTTTTTGGAGGTGGAGAGGGGAGGGATTGATCCCTGAATATTTAGTTGGCTATGAGAAAAAGGGTTGGTTTTAATAAAACTTTGGGAAGTGCCTCAGTGCCTGGAGGCTGAGCTCTTGCAGAAGGAGGTGAACAGGCTCTAGCTGTCTTCCTCATGTATTGTCAACTTAGAACATCCATCTGGGTAGCAGGACATCAAATTTCATGTTTCTGCTCTAAATTAGGTAGAATATGGATATGAACTTGGGTCTGACATACCCCTGGTAAGCATTCTATCAGTTGTACAACCCAGTACCTTGTTATGTTGTTCCCCCTTGGCCCTTGCCTGTTGCATTTTAGGATAATTTTGGGAAGTCTTGGGGGAAACTTCTTTCATCTCTTGTTGTTTTTTTCTGGGATGGGAGACTAGTTTTCCGGCTAGCTCTAGTGATTGGAAAATCCCAATGCAAGATGAGGTCTGAAGCACCTCTGCAGGACAGATGATACTTTGCACTTGGAGAATTAGAAACACAAAACTGGAAGTGTTCACACAAAGTTAAAATGGAAACGCGGTCAGCTGAGAAGTTGATTTTCAGACTGAACTTTTACGTGACATTTTTATGTATCGATTCAAGTTCAGTATTTCAGCTTTCCTTTTTGTACCGAAATGCCTTTCAATCATCCAGATTCATAAAAGGCTTTTTAAAATCACAGAGGTAGTAATTTGTTGAACTGAAATGTATTTGATGCCTAAAGAAGCCAGTGTGATGGAACAAATAACCCTTTATAAACATCTGGCTATGGCATGAAAACCATCCCTAAGAATTTGTCTGAAGGAAGAGGTGAAGTTCTTCCTTTTGAATAAATTATTTGAAGGGGACATCAAAGGTGCAAAAATTTTTGTTTCTTCTGTTTTTCTGTGGCATGTCAAGGCAGGATCTGAAGGGTGAAGAATGCCTCTGTGGTAGGAACAGAGCTGGCCTTGAAGTATGAGTTCAGGCTGTCAGCTGATATTCCGAAAACTGTTACGATTTTAGCAGCAGCCTGCATGCTGGTTTTCTTTAAGCTGTGAATATCTGGCCAAAGACCTTGCTAGAACTAATTTGGCTTTGCTGAGTGCAGTAGGAAATGAAAGAGAGTGGTAAAATCTGGGCACCAGTAAGGATGAACCATTTCCCTGATTAAATTTTTCTCCGTGGAAAAGCATACTGTGGTCTATGAAGAACAGAAATCTTGGAGTTCTTCTAGTCCTAAAATATGCCTAATTTTATCAGCCCGTAAAGGAGAGCAGCTGTTTTTCTCGTGTCCACAGTGACACAAGCAGTTTGCTGAAATGTTGAAAGTAGGAAGTAAGATTGGAGTCAAGTGTGGTAAACGTGAATGCAGTACAACTGTCCTTCCAAATGCAAACAGCTCTGAGGAGAAAGCACTACTAGAAAGAAACAGCGCAGTTGCAAACAATTTGGATACGAGCATGCAAAATTTATAAAACTTTCCTAGAAAAATTTGGGCTTTGGCAGCACAGGCGGAGGCTGGTGAAATAATCCATCCTGTGTGGCACGTGTGATGCTGCAGTGAGCATGAAACCCATCGAAAACGTTGCACAACACTCCAGATGCTGGCAGAGCTTAATACAGAAATTAATCTCAAGACAAATAACTACCTTGTTAAACAAGAATAAGTGATACAGCGGCTGAGAACTGTAAACACCAGGAGGAAGAAAGAAAATTTTAGGGTGGTTTCATGGGCAATGTCAAGGTGAGTTGCAAGCAGAGTTGTGAAACTCTGTGCCCTGACCCAAATCAAAGCTGGGAGCCAAAAGTTGTGGGAAGTGGAGGTGGCTTTTGCCTGGAGACGCCTTTCGCCTCTGGAAATTGGACTCTGCCCACAGAAATGACCTTTGTGGCAGGTGTCTGGGATTTGGCAGTGAGTACAAAAGGGGGGAGCACAGTGAATGGCTTTATTTCGAGGTGTATCTTCCTACACCTTTAAAAACCAGCTGTGAGACACTTGCCACCGACTCCGAAATAGCCCCCATGTCATGGAAAACATGCCAGGGTCTGAAGTTTTCTGTTCCTCAGTGTGACCAGTTACCGGCTTCGGTATCCCAGTATCCCAGGCAGGATTTGGCATCTGCAGGGTGCAGCAGAGTGGGTTTGTGACCAATCTTTAATCTGCGGTGGTATTTCAACCCCGTTGCCTACGGTTTTTCCTGCATCTTACTAATAGCCACTTAGTTTGACACTTTTAAATCAACAGGGCCTTCTGCCCGCCTTCCTCTGGTGGTTTCGTGAGGCAGTGCAGCGTCTGGAGCGTTGTGGTTACAGGGGATTTGCTGTTTTTTCCCCTGTGTGTACAAACTGGAGGAAGCAGGAAAGCAAACTTTCCTGTTTATGTATCAATATTTTAATAGCCCACATTTTGAAAAACCAAACTACTTGAATACCAGATGTAAGCGGGTTTTCTAAAATGCCATTTTACTTTGAAATCTGTTGCTGGATATTACGTTGCTTCCTCTTGAGAGCCTGAGGAAGCCCACATGTTGCTTCCAGAAGGCTTCAGGACCCATAGAAATGAAATAGCTTGGATGTTAATTCCTGTGTACTCATCAGTTTAGGCAGCAGCTGTTTCCTTCCATAGCTCCTAGAAGCCCTCGCTGAGAGGATGATGCACTGGTCCAGCTCCCCACACAGCAAAATGCTCACACACCTCCCGGGTGGGTCTGCCAGCACCAGGGTATATTTTATTTTTATTTTATTTTTTAATTTAATTTTATTTTGTTCTGTTCTATTCTATTCTATTCTATTTTCTATTCTATTCTATTCTATTCTATTCTATTCTATTCTATTCTATTCTATTCTATTCTATTCTATTCTATTCTATTCTTTACGATATTAAGTTACTAAGTGTTTATTTTTCATTTTAAATGTTTATATTTTATTTCATATTTTACATTGATTTTATTTTATCTTAAGGGAGAACAGCCATATCTTGCCAGGTAATTGAAATCCTGGTGACATACCAAAACAATGCTTCATCCTTTTTTCTTTTTTTTTTTTTTTTTCCCCGCAAGCTTCCCAGGCTCCATATTTAGATTGGGAAACTCAGTTTTGTTTTTCTAACTATAGATGAAATACTTTTGGAGGCTTGTAAAGCATTCAGCTTGGGTTTTTCATTTTCTTTGGCGTTTTGAC